AATTCTGAACTACAAGAACTAGACCTCAGAATGATGCATGTGAAACCCGCACACACGATATACCTAGAACTTCCTGGGCAGTAAGGCGTCGCCTGGGATCAGGATCGAGCATTTTTCTTACAAGATCCTTTGCATTTTCAGAGACTTTTGGCCATGGGTCTCTCCTGAAATCAATGACCGAGCGAATAATTGCCTGTGCTACACCCTGTTCAGTTTCTACATGAAAATTGGAATGCAACTCATGAGGAAATCTGAAAAAGAATAACAAAAACTACACTAATGGTGGGATGGATTCACTGTTGTTTCCAGGCATGAAGTGGGTGTAGAGAACAAAATTCAAACCTGCCCAAAAGGGTGGGATGCCACAGAGTAAAATATAGAGGATAACCCCGGCACTCCAAACATCAACTTCTGGACCATAGTTCCTTTTCAGGACCTCTGGGGCCATGTAATAAGGACTTCCTACTATTTCATTGAATTGTTCACCTAATCAAATGGAAACATGAATGTTCATGACATGAACAATAAAAAGGTGTGGCAAGTGCAACTACGCAAACAAAACAAGAATGCACAACAAAACGATAATATGTCTAACAGCCCAAGCACACCGCTAGCAGATATTGTCCACTTTGGCTAATTACGTATCGTCGTCTGTCACACGGTTCTAAAACGCGTCTGCTAGGAAGATGTTTCCACATCCTTATAAAGAATGGTCCGTTCTCTCTCCAACCGATGTGAGATCTCACAATGATACTGTCATTTTTAGTCTTTGTCTTTCAAGCTTCCCCTCTAAGGTTTCTAAAACGCATCTGGTAGGGGAAGCGAGGGAAAGCCGAAAAAAACAATATCTGCTAGCAGTAGACTTGGGCTGTTATCATATGAGTCTCACGTGTCAATTGAATACAATCCATAATACCTGGTTTGAAAGTGATAGACAGTCCAAAATCAATTGCCTTCAATGGGGACGATTCCTTCTTATTTTCGAAAAGAAAATTCTCTGGTTTGAGATCACGATGCATCACTCCATGTTTATGACAAACCTATAACATAAAATGCATGTACTTCTTAGAACAAAAGTGTCAAAATCAACATAAATATGGCAAGAGATTAGTACATGTTTAAAAGCTAATCAACACTTTCTTTTCACCTGAACGACTTCAACGATTGTCCGCATAACAACAGCCGCTGCACGCTCTGTGTAATGTCCCCTCGCAACAATACGGTCAAACAACTCCCCACCCTCGCACAGTTTCATCACAATATGAACTGCCTGATCGTCCTCGTAAGTATCCTTCAGCGAAACAATATTCGAATGCTCAGGCAAAAGCTTCATGATCTGAACCTCTCTTCGCACGTCCTCAATATCAATAGCAGTCCTAAGTTTCTTCTTTGATATAGATTTACAAGCAAACTTTTCGCCTGTATTAGTATCCGTGCATAAATACGTTACACCAAATTCACCTCGGCCAAGCTCACGACCAAGATCATAATGAGCCAAAATGTCATGACCAGTTGGATCTTTCAACACCTGAAGCTTGCTACCAATACCATTCACATAGTTCCTGCCATCCTTGTTAGAAACTTTATTAGTCTTCTTCCTGTGCCTACCTTTAGGCTTAGCCGGAGTGTTAGTAGGAGTAGCACAACAATTACCCATCGGCAAGATCCAGAAATGTTCAAATGCTCCGACCTTTTAATGGATTTCAAACCCTATCAAACAAATATATTAAGTTAAGATCCAAAGCTTTTCTCAGAAACAATACGAACCAAGCTGAGAATCTGAGATGGATAATCAATACGATGATTTCATCTAAACACAAATCCAAAATCGCACAAGATGTCATAATCGGAATCAAGCAGGCACTTACTCCAAGGAATCAAAAACAAAAAGAAAAAAGAGAAATTAACACAGAGATATCCATTCATGATCATAACAATCACAAAGGCCTAGAAAATTTATTCGCATCGAAACCTAAAAATCGCCAAGAAATCAGAAAACCGACCTGGAAATTTTCGTTGAAATTCAGGAATCGCGACAACGTCGGGAGGAATAACCGGAGAAGTTAGCCGGGAGGAGAAATTGAAGTCGTTTGAATCTGAAATTTGAAGGAGAAAGATGAATCTCAAGAACGTGAATGAGGCGTTGATTGATTGCTTGAGTTTCAGAATTCCCTTTCTCCTCCAAAATTTCTCTCCTCCCTTCCTGGATTCAACCAAGACGGAAGACAAAACGAGGCTCTTCTCCCCCACCTCCTTCCCTCCTCCTTTTCAATCCACAAACTCCCTTTTTTTTCTAATTTAATTTGTAAGAAATTATAACTATAATCATTACATTTCAAAAAATAAATTTATCGAATATACAAGTCAACTAAATGTTATTTTCGAGTAATTCACGGTCTAATTTTAACCAAACAATTTGAGAATTGAATCATGACTGTTCTTGTAATTTAAGATTAGTTTTTTCTTTACGTTTTTTTTATGTGGCCAGTAATAAAATTACAAAAATTTAATTACAACCACTTAATTTCTATAACAAAAACGTACAGAATTCTCATTTAAGAATAAAACTAGCTAAATTATAAAAAGTTCGATATGTTCATAACTTTTTCTTCGTACAATTCAGCACCCATGTTAAATTTGTGTAATATCATTTCTTGAATGATGAAAGATTTAGGTAAGAAGTGAGGGGGATATGAACAGAGATGAAGGTGGTAGCAGCTGCAAGACTGGTGGCTCAGTGGATTGTGTCTCAGAGCTGATTGAGCTTGGCAGTGGAGTATCAATGGAGGGCTTTATGACTGCATAGAACAGCACATTGTAGAAAATGGAGAAGATGAAGAGAACAACAGCAGAGTTTGCTAAAAAGGACTCTGAAAGTTCTGCCATTTCTCCTCTCATTTGATCTCTTGGAAGCTTTGTGCCTTCAACAACTGCAAAAGTTGTTTTTTTAAAACACTCCAAATCAGCTTAAGAACAGATTCTATACACACCAATGCCAACAACCCTTCTTGCTCTAAGCTACCATAAATCAAGAACTTTCAAGTTCAGTAACGATTCAATGTCGTACCAATCCCCAAAAGACCGATGTGGGACTTTCATCCACCAACACCTCCCCTCGAACAAAGTACGTCTCCCCTTAGTCGAGGTTCGACTCCTTGTCTTTCGGAGTCTTAGTCATTTTTTGACTATGCCTTTGAGGACTTCGACTCCTTTTCTTGTGGAGTCATTTGTTCGACATATTAGGACATGACTCTAATACCATGTAGATGAACACGACTCTCCACAATGGTATGATATTGTCCACTTTGAGCATAAGCTCTCATAGCTCTACTTTGGATTTCCCTAACCGGCCTCTCATACTAATGAAGATAGTATTCTTTGATTATAAACCCATAATCATTCCCCGAATGAGCAGATGTGGGACTTTCATCCACCAACAAGATGTTCTATAGATATCCATGTTAGTAATCACAAACTTCCACAATTATATGATATTGTCCGCTTCGAGCATAAATTTTCATATCCATGTTACTTGTGAACTTATGATCAACCCCTTAATTAGTCGACTCTCGATCATTTCACGGTTACTAATCATACCCATTTCCTCAAAGAGAATTCAATCAAGACCATGTGCATCTAATCGGTTCAGTCCATTCTTTAACCAAAGTGGCACAACAAATTTTGGTTGGAATTAGGATTGAAAAGTTGGGGGAATACCTTTCTTCTTGGGAGGGGTGGCTCGTTTTTTGGAGAAGGATTGAAGCTGCTGGTCGAGCTCTTGAAGGGCCTGCCTGGCCTTGTCTGGGTCGACCTCGAACTGCTGTGAGTCGGTCTCCTTTGAACACACAATACAGCGACGAGAAGCAGGGAAAGGAAGTGGGTGAGCTTTCTTTGTCTTCAAAGCATCGGAGCTTTTCTTGGTGGCTAACAATGGCGGGCGATGGTTTTGATTGAAGAGGGAGTGAAGGGAAAGCATCTGAGAGCTGCTGATTAACCACAGCCGCATCGGAACGCTTTCAGGATAATGTTATTTCATTACCTAGAAGAAGCTCAAGAACTATTGATGTGAGGCAGTGTTTGGCAACCTGTATAGCTTAGTCTTGTTCGGAATACGGCTGTCCTCGATCCCACCTGGGACAATGAATATTTGTAAACTGGGACAAGGATTTGGAACGAACATTCCTCCGTCAGAATGAGGGACACAAAATATTCTCCCTTAATGAAATATTGGTTTGATTGTACAATTGTGGTCAAAGGAATTATTTTTCAATTATTAAGCTAAATAATACATATATATATATATATATATCGACCCTCATTTTAAAAAATAAAAGTTGCAAGTTTAATGACTAAGATACTAAAAGTAAATCAAATGTTCGGTTGAAGAGTGAAACGAATCATTTTTTTTATAAGAGTGTGAAAACCTCTATCTAGTAGACGCATTTTTTAATGGTAAAGCTGACGGTGATATGTAATGGACTAAAGCGGACAATATCTACTAATGATGGGCTTAAGCTATTACAAACAATATCAAAGCCAGACACCAGGTGGTGTGCCAAAAATCGGCTAGTGGAGGAAGACCTTCCAAGGATAAGAGACATAGGGCTAAAGAGAGAGCCAAAAGAGGATCTTTTGTGTATAATCCTGCATCAATGTGAGCAAAAGTTCCTAGATTCATGGCAATATAGAACAGCATATAAGTTATCATGCTTACTGGACCAGTAAAATCTAACATTGGTTGGAGAGGAAAACGAAACATTCTTTATAAGGATGTAGAAACCTCTCCTTAGTAGACGCGTGAGAAGACGCGTTTCAAAAAATGGAGCATGCAATCCGCTATCACCTGAGATGAGAGTTCCTTTGGCAAATGGTAAGAGCCTCAAGTGGTGTCAAAGAATCTGTGTATTGGTTCAAATGATTGCTGATTCGATGCTGAAATCAGCATTCATACAATAGCATAGAATCATATTTGGAACCTGAAAAACTTTGATGAATATGAACAACCAAATCATGAATCACATTTCAAGTCTTAACACACACACAAGTACATAATAGTCGAGATAGCAACATTGTTTTGAAACTAAAAAGAACACTGTTTGAAATCTATGGAGTCTGTTCTTTACACAAGGTAAGAATTGGGGAGGTTGATGGAATAAAGCATTCCAAGGACTTAACTAGAACTAAGGTCCAAATGGCTAACTTATATCATCCATCTCCTTTTCGTTTAGTTTAAGCAACAACCACAAGAACAAAGCCAAGAATGATTTGCCGCCTGACAGAAAAACTGCCAGGGAACGTAGCCCCACAAATAACCAAGGGGTACCCCGTATTTTCGCAACCAGGTGGTTCATTTGATTGCAAGACGCCTCTGTGCGGCCTGATTTTCTGAGATACTTCCTCGTTGCTGTCCCGAGCAGTCTCCATCTTCACCTCTCTCGCCAGAGAGTAAAGCATATGAAGAAGCTTGGAAGCTACTGTAATTATGAAAATGGCTATTGCCATTCACATAACTACGAGCTTCATATGACTCATGCAACTGGGCTCTTGCTTCTTGTTGACTATTGGAGGAATTCCAGGTTTCAGCCAAGGCACCAGGCACAGCCTCAGAACCAGACGAACTAGACGATATAGCTTGACCAGAACCAGATTCCTTGCTCTTCATAGTAGAGCTCAAAGATTTAGCTTCATTTTTCTTGGCAAAACGTCCACCGGTACCCCTCGCCCGTCTCATGGCATGCTGGTGACGAGATTCATGAAGATATGGCTGATCAACATTACACACAAGCTAAATATTAGAGATACTTCAGAAAACATACAGAACTAACAACCAGCCAACCCTCAATGACATTTGATTTTTGAAATCTAACCCGGGCCAGTATAGAGCATTCAAAAACTAATCGTGAAATAAAAAAAGAACTAACTATTAAGATCTACATACAACAAAAAAGAAATCGTGAAATTTTGAAAGACCTGGCTTTGCCTCAGTCGAATTCAAATTAAATTAGTGAGTCGACCATACACGGTCACCACATCACTCAACATGAAATGTAACAAAGGCTCCGAGTTCAAAAACTAAAAGCTTTGAATCCGAATCAGCTGTATATACGGATACCATTTATGGTATACCTTCCGTTGACCTCCAGTCTATATATGTTACTTCTCTCCTTTGAATATTTATAATCAAATTTGCAGCATAGGGAAGAATGAACTTCAAGAAAAATAAAGTACAATTAAGAAAGTCGTTATAGATTCCCAGATACCTAAAACATATATAAGAGACAAGCCATAGTACATCAAAGAAAACGATCTGAATTCTGAATAGCAATCGTACCTTTCTAACTTTTATCAGTTTGTTCTCAACCTCTGCTTTAGCACGTGCTTGTCTTCGCCTTAGAATCCCTTGATACTGTTTGGCATTCACAAAAACTGGCTCCTGTGCCACCTCAAGGGGCAAAGCCATTCTAGCATGTGGCATCCCAATAAAAGGAGGATAACCCTACAATATGAAATACTTGTCAGGGGCAAACTTACAGGCATAATCACTCTAGAATGTTTTCCAAAAAACTGGAAAATTTCAATTAGTTCGCGTTCACCAGATACTCATATGTTATTTTACTTATGATAGTTTGAGAAAGTGAAAATCTGGACAAGGAACATAATGAAGTTCCTGGATAATTGAAAAGGTAAAAGCAAAAGAAAAAACATAAAAGTGGAGGAGGCAGAAAGGAAAAGTGCCATCAAAATTACCCAGGGCTAGCATATATATATAGCTATATATATATATATATATATATATATATATAGATAAAAAATAGTGTATATGGTGCAAAAATTACCAGTAAGATGTACATATATATGCATATTCATATCATCGCCTGATCTTTATAATTTTAACCTACATACCATAGGTTGATGCCCATATGCAGCCATAAGTCCAGCATAATAAGGATCCTGATATTGGTTTGATGCACATGCCTGAAAAAGATTCAACAACTACTAGTAATTCCACAAAATTCAAAAGCATCTCAAATCTGATGCGTTTCAAAGAACCAATGTTGTTCGATAATCAAAAACTGGATTCCGAGAGCAAGAAGGATGTCTCTAAAGTAAGGAGGAAATCAACAAGACTATAGGAAGGAGCTTACAATAGAGTGGCCTACAAGTTCAAGCTGAGGAGGTTGTGTGATACATCCACCATGCACTCTAGGTGCAGTAGAAACAGCATGCTGATTGTTGTGCTGACCTTGCCCATAACTTGCAGCTGAATTTGATAATAACATGTTCGTTAACAATCCAATAAGGCTAAATTATCCTAGTTGAGGGCCATACCTTGCGTTTCTTTCGTGGTGTCATCATCATCATCTTCATTCAAATCAGCATTTGACATTGACTGGTCATTAGATTCTGAGGCACCATTAGTACATTCCAGTGATGGTGAATTGGACACATTCCCTCCTGTTGCTGACGGAGAGATAGGATTGTACCCAATACTACGCCACCAAGGTTCAGAATAACTACCAGTCTGCTGCATATTCGGTGGTTCAGATTCCACTTGATTCACACTTTTAGACTTTGACTGCATACCTTCTAAACAAATATATATACGTTAATTCACATAATATGCAAAACCAATGTTGGATAAACAGAGAACCAGCCGTCACCCTGTGATAAAAGAATTGAAAAGAAGACGTTAAAAGGAAAAGGGGAAAAAGGAAGCATCGTTCGTTTAAAAACCTAAGAAACTTTCCCCAGAGCATGCTTTAACTTAATCCAATCCCTGTACAGAGCATTGCTCATTATTCTTTTGAATGAAGCCTATGACCTTACGAAAGCAAAATGCTCTACACCTTTAATATCTTCAGGCCTTCCCAGCTAAGCTCGTAACTTAACATCAATTGTTGGGTTCTATGATTCGGAAGACAGAAACCAAATAAGTTTCTATTTTGTGCTTGAAAAATTTTGGAATCGTGAATGCTCGATTTACGTCAGCTAAATCACATCTTGGAACCCTTAAACTTTTAATTTTGAAGAGATGCAAGTGTAGCATATCTAACAAACTCAAAAACAGAAAGCCAAGATCATCCATAATCTTTAATCCAAAACATAAACCAATTCCTGTAATGTTGAGTGGAGATCAATTGCAGGATAATATTGATGAACCCTCCATAAACGCTCCAGACAATTATCAAATCATAATTCAGTATCTGAAATTAAAATCTTCTCCCCTCTCTACATAAGTTCTCTTTGACATTTAAGCCGGGCATACCAGTGATCCACATGCAAGGGCAGGGGGTAACTAAAAGAGTTATATAGATAACGTTCACTTCAATATTCAGCTCGTTTTCTAGACGACTGACATTCCAACCTAATTTGCACGGCATCTAAATTAAACAAGAAAACAGAAAAACAACTTTCAGGACTGCGCCGCAAGTTGACTCAAACAATCCGAATTCCGCAATTCAGGATTGCGCGAACCATAATCCCCACATGCAGACAATAAACAGAACCCAATGCTAAAAAAAAGTGGGATAGATAGCAGAAACAACAAAATACGACGGCGCGAGTTCATTTTTGAAAATACATGAGCAAAAATCGCCCCAACTCATAACTTCTAAATTCCCATCGGGATCCTAATTCCACTCTATTCTCTAAACAAAGAAAACCAACCAAGTGAACTCTAGTGATCCAAATTTCCAAATCCTAGTCGCATGAATCCAGAAAGCAAAGCTGGCCCAATTCCATGCAACGAGAACAATACTCGAACATAAACAAAAACCAAAGGGAAGAGATGGAAAAGAACCGAATTAAGAAAACCCTAGGGTAATTTTAGGTATCGAAAAGAAGAGAGAAGGGAACCAGAATCTCGCAAAATGAAGTTAGAGGAAAGAGAGGAACTCACCTGGAGAGAAAATTGAGGAAATCCGAAGCGCTGGATTCAAGAAGAAGACGGTGGGAATCTGTGAGATAAAGAAAAACAGAAAGGGATGAAGAGAATTTGAAGAGTCAATCAAGTTCTTCAGCGATTCTCATAGTTTATTAAAGCACTGTTAATTAGAGCGCAAAAACAAAGACCCTTTTCTGGCAGCTCAAATTCAAGAGCTACGGCTACTGTTACCTCACCCACTGCGGGACCCGACTTCAGTTCCAGCTACTCTTCCACCAGCAACCGCCCCTTCCAGTTTCAAACTACGAGATTCTTCCAAGTCGACGCCTCTTGAGTTGAGACGAGCAAAACCGGGTAAAGCAGGTTCCCAGTTGACGTGGGTCGTGAGCTAAGGAATGTCACGGACGGGTGAGGTTAGGGAAATTTGTTTTTCAGGATAAAAAGAGGGAAATGGGATAATATATTTTGACCCACGTGACACGCACTTGACGAGCAAAGTCCGGGAAACGCTTGGCGCAAATGTGGGGACCGCCTCTTTAAAGCATCGACAGCAGCGCATGCCACGTATCCCATCTTTTTAATGCATTTTGTTTTCAACCGTTGTTACTCATCTTGCCAATCCTCTCATATCACCCGCTGGTCACTTTATCATCAGGTTAGTTATTTTATGTGCCACTTCATTCTTTTTTATTCCAAAATAATAATAATAATAATAACAACAACAAATTAAAAGAAAATTATACGATGACAATTTTATAATTTCATAACTTTATTATTTCTAAGATGGAATTTATTCATTTTATTATTATTATTATTATTATTTTGCTACATTATAAAACAAGATATATTAAAATATTCAATAATGTCACAAGGGTGAAGTGGGAAAAATAATAATTATGAGATGTACTAACGAAGAATGATAATAATTGAATGTATGACACGTGGCGTCATTCGATTGGCTAAAGTTTGTTGGAGTTCATATAAGCATGCCTTTGTACCTAGAAATCATGATTGGGTGTTCTAGCAAAGTCCCTAAAGGCCTCAGCTTAATTATGGGGAGTAATCCAAAGGTCACTTTGAGTTATGATTCAATAAATATTAAATTTACTCTTTTAATCACACCTCCTGGGATAATCTATAGGGGAAATTGCCAATAATTAGTCAAATATAGGGGTATAAAAGACTTTTCATATAGAATAGTATGTGTGAAATTACCGATTTGTCCCTTTATAACAAAAAAAAAAAAACCCTAATGTCTCGGGCCAATTTTACCTATCTCGCTCATGTACTCACCATCACCCTCGATTGCTAGTCGATGACAATTTCGACTTCATCAACAATGGGAAGCAACGACTCTAGCTTTGAAAATGATAAGTGATGATGGAGAGGACGACCTCTATTTTATTGAGAGTTTTGAAACCTTTATAAATAAAATAAAAAGGTAATGTGCATTTTTTAAATAAACAAATAATTTTTTTTTAGTAATTTTTGCTTCCATATATGGGATAGGGTCGAACCATGGGCTGGAAAAACGAAAATGAAACGTGGGCCGCGGCTACTATTGGACGAGGCCCGTTAGAGATACAAGGCTTTCAGGCTTTTATCAGGCCCAGTTCTCCTTTCTTATATATATATTTTCCTTTTTTCCTCTTAAAAGAAAAAAAAACCCCTTAATTTGAATATTGAAAAAAATATGAAATTTTGTTAAAATTATCCACTTTGAACGTAAACTCTCGTGACTTAGCTTTAGACTTCCCTATAAGACCTCACACCAATTGAAATAATATTCTTAATTATAAACCCATGACCCTTCTCTAAATTAGCCAATGTGGGATTATTAATTTAAATCTTAAATTGTTATAAAAAATCAATTTATGAAAAATAAAAAAACCTCAATTATCTATTTCTAACATTTGCTCATAAAGGAAACAAAAACTTAATTTTTTTTTTTTTTTTGAGCATCCTCGGATTCTTCAAAACTTCAAATATGATTTTATATATTTTCTAAACGGATAATATTAATTAATGAGACAAATTTACTTAGTTCTATGATGGATAATTTAGTTAATATAAGAAGAAGATGTTCATAAATAATATTACAACTAAATAAAATTAAATTGGTTAAAAGCACCATTTTAATGATGATTAATCCCCACTCTCTATTCTAATTACAATTTGTATAACAAATATTTCATAAAGATTAAACTCAAATATTTAATTAATATATAGATTAGACTTTGTAGGCTAATACAAACATTTCCCAACGCAATCACATGTGCATATATTCTTGAGGTTATTTGGAATATAATTAAACCCTAATTTAAGAATGGTTAATTAAATTAATTAATATTATTATTTTATATGGTTGACCACTAAAAAGCTGACTACTTTCATTAAGACAGGATTCTTTTATATGTATAAAATATTTGTATGTGATTCATTTCCCATACTTTCATATAGTATATATTTTAATCCATTGAGATATTTATAATATTTTTATTTTTATTTAATTTATTAGCGCTAAATTAATAAAAATATCTATAAATTTTTTAATTTTTTAATAATACTTTTAAACTTAAAAAAATATATATATCTATATATAATTTTTTTTCATAAATAATTAAAAGTGCCCTTAAAAAAATACTAATAAAAATTTGAAAATATCATTAACATGTTTTAATCTTTTTTTTTAAATTTTAAAATAATTCTCTCTCTGTATTCTAAAAGATTGTGCCAAAAACACATGTGGGGCTTCCATAGTGTCATAATATTTTAAATTTTTATTTATAAATAAATATGAAAAATAGGGAAATTTGAAGAAAATAAAAAATAAAAAAGAATATTTTTGAGAGGGCGACGGTGAAGCCGCACGAGTTAGTTCATTGGATTCTCTTACACTGTTTGGATGAGGTTAGTTTCAGTCCAGACAAATAATAATAATGATACTTTTCAGAATAATAATGATAATAATAATAATAAGTTAAAATAAAATAAATAATACCCTTTGTTACATTATTATTTAAAACATTTTTTTAAATATATGATATAAAAACATTTTAGCAAAAAATATATTAATTAAAAAATAGCTATTTTAATTTTCACTCCACAATTTTATAATTACGTTAGAAAAAGAAATTAGTTAAAAAAAAAAAAAAAAAAAAACCTAAACTTTATTTTAAAATGCAAATTCCACGTGGAAAATGAAATTTTTTTTTGACGTATTGACGTGTTGTCACACTCAAATTCTTGTGTACAGGTGGAATGTATGGAGTAAAGGGAAACAGAGCACCTGCGCTCTGAGTCACAGCAGCCTTCTGGTGGCCAATACGGCGACGTTTCGCTGTCTCATCATCTTCTTCATCCGTCACTCTTGGAATCTGCACCGTCACCATGGCTGGGTACCATCAAAACCCTAAACCCATAAAGAAAGAAAGAAAGAAACAGAGCAGCATGAAAATGGCAGCCACCATTGACCCATTTCAAACTAAAGAGACCCACTGGTTGAAAATTGAGATTATCACAGCCCAAAAGTTGTGTGGTGTGGGACAGGTTCGAACCCTACACAACACAGTCCATAATTCTTCAAAATTCCAAGAACATAATAAAATTATATTAATGGTAATGTTACAGAGCAAACATATATTAACCTCAAATTCACACACAAAAAGAAGAAACCCAAACTTATTCAAATTGATATCTAATGAAGAAGAGGAGAAAATTAAGAAGTGGGTTTTGATTGAAATGTCTGTAAAAGTTGTATGAACATGCGAGCTTTGATTAATGATGTTTTTGAGCTTCAAACTGAAATGTCCGGTCGGGCGATGAAGAAGAAGAGCTCTAATTCTGGAGGGGCAAAAAAGGCAATTGGCGATCGCCGGAAGGAACAATCGGAGATGGGTCTTTGCTTTTTCGGCCCCGGTGGACATGTCAGAATCTCCGGGATTCTGAATCTCTCTGCTTTTGGCGTGCTGTAGCCGCCGCCGCCGTCGTCGTCAGGAAATTGAACAACGTCGTTCTGTGGCGGCGGAATCTGGTTCTGTGGCTTCTTCGTGGTTGTCTTCTTGATTTTCTTATTCACCTTGGAGGTGCGTATATTTCTTCTGGGTCTTGTCGCCATTTTCGCTCCTGAAGGTGCCATTTGGAAGGAATTTGGTGACTAGTCGATTGAGTAGCAGGGGAATTTGACAAAGCGGAACAAAACAAAAAACAAGACCAACCAACAGCCAACAAGCAACAACAACAACGTTAGGAAACAAAATAGAGGGTGTTATTGGTAAAGGAACAGGGTTCTGTAAAATGGGGTTCTGCAAAGATTATAGCTTTCAGAAGGGATTTCAGAGAATTTTGAAGACACCCATTGAAGAGAAGGATTGGCGTTCAAAAACCCACAAAGCCCTAGAGAGAGAAAGAGGAGAGAGAAAGGGAAAGGGGGGTTCGCATTCACAAGTGTGCTCGTGTCCGTCTCGAGCTCATTATAAGCATAGAGAATCAGGGTAGGCTGCCCGCTACCCGAGGCAAATAATCAGTGAGAGAGAGAAAGGAGGGAGATAGAGTTCAAATTTTTAGGCACCCTTCTTGGGATTACTCCTAATTTGATTAGTTCAAATTAGGGCTTGGGCTGCCCGCTGCCCGCTGGGAATCAATTTTTAGGTAAATAATTTATTATTTATTGCTATAAAAATAAAAATCAAATGAAAAATAAAATTAAAATAAAAATCTTGTACTTTATAGCTTCTCTTTAAGAAGCAGTTAAAAGAATCTGTGTTGGTGATGTAGGATAATTGTGAATTTTATTATTATAATATCTGTGGTGAAATTATAAATTCTTTAATTATTCGCGAAAAAATATTGGGTATAAATATTTTTTTAATTTATTCAAAATTATTGAAAAAAATGTCGTACTGTTGTAGATAGATGTCATATTAAAAAAAATAAAAGAGATAATAATAATAATAATAAATAAATAAAATATTAATTAAATACATATTATTAATCCAAATTCCTATGTCCTTTTCCAAATTTTCATCTTTTCAATTTAAACTTTATCCGAGGAAAATCTGTCTAGGTTTCAGTTTTGAAAAAACAAATGAAATGTTAGCTACAGATACAGTGGCCCATCTTTCTCACTCGACCCTTCAACTTTAATTTAAACACAGAAATATGATGGAGATTATAAGCCACCAACTACAGGCGTCTACCCAGAGGAATGGTTAATACATAGAGAGAACCCTTCTAACCAAATTCTTTTCACAAATTTATGCAGACCGAGCGATGCGTGCGACCTGCTCGTCTGGCTAACAATGGTCCTGGAAAGTAGAGAGAATGTATGGTCACCATAAGAACACAACCAAACTTGGCTCCTATTCACTTCTAACTCCTCCATAAACCTCATTGCTCCAAAACCAAACCAAAACAACGTAGTAATTGAAGAAAACACAGTGAATAGAATAGAATAGCTGATGTCACCGTCCTCTGGCGATAGCTTCGTCTAGCTCTTCTTGGGATGACGGGAACAACTCTATGTAACGGCTACCTAGTGTCATTCTATCCTTGGACATTGCTGCTTTCGAGTCTTGCTCGTTTGCGAATTCGACAAATGCTTCCCCACTTGGCCTTCCCTCTGAATTCAGTGTTAGATGAATCACGTCTTCTGATAAGATAAAACCTTTGAAGAAGTCCAGTATGTCATCCTTGCCTGCTGAATATGGCAGTCCTCTCAAACGTAATATACCTGTGTGTTCGGCGAAGTCTTTCACCTCATCGTTTAATTTCGACCTGGGTGCAGTTCTTCTTGGCGAACCACCCCGGGCATCGAAAACTTCATTCGCTACCGCCTTGTAGTATTCCTGTCGATTACTCCTGAAAATCTCAACATATCTCCTGCCCATGTTTTGCCTATTCCTTTGAAGGGCAAAATCAACCTGCAGAGGATAACCCAAAACACAAAAACCTTCCCCTGTGAATTTGCCATTCTTGTGGACGAAAATAATGTCAACTATGTCCAGACCATGAAAGAACTCAGCAACATCAGTTTCCATGCAATCGAAGGGAAGACCCCGTAGTCTGACAACGGGAAACGGTGGTGGCTGACCAACATATGCATAAGGACTTGCATTATACATAAACCCGGCACCCGGAGAAGTCCCATAATAAGAAGATCCCTGATCAACTATCCTTTGACGCTTTGCACCCATTTCACGACCATCACCACCATCAGCAAATGAACTTCAATCCGGACAAAAACAGAAACCTCATCAATATTCCATCCCAAGAGAGAAAAAAAATCGATGTATCAAATATAAGAAAAATATCCACACTTCTCCCACTCATTGGTATGCAGATAACGAAGAGATACTCCTACACGCATCTATTAACTAGCAGACAATTTCCTTGGCTATAAGAATGTAGACCTGCTAGTTCGAGTTTCTCGTAAAACAAATGTGGGTAAACTTTCAGTATTTTCCAAACACACTAAATAAATACAGAAAATGGCAGACGCTTCAGTAAAGGACTACATTAAAGTTGATCATCAACACAAACAGCTATAATTGACGAAAAGATTATTTCATCCTCTTTCACAGTTCAGGATTATCAAAAAAACTTTTAATCAAGAGTGTTGCTCCAGTGGTTAGGCACAAAATCGAGCAAAGGAAAAGATCGCTGTGCACATTATCCATCAGTTTGAAGATTAAAAAGAAAAGAGGACTGCAATCTTGCTTGCAACTTTTCAAAGGTGTTCAATACTCTCCAATATGTATCCATAAGAAGCGTTAAATCTTTTTGGTAATCTTTCTCCTCCAAATGCAATTTACCATAGTTTTTTGAATGGCTGGACATGAGATAACAAGGTGGTGAAAAGAAACTTGCAGGACATGTTTCCACGTATGTCCAAGCTCCAAATATCTCTTGGCTTCCATGCAGAATGGCCTAAATAAGCTAAATTCCTAGAAAAGTTCTAAAAAGTTTGGGACTTCCTCATCCTTGAGATGTCTTCAAAAACCTAGGTTCCAGGCCATTGTGTCTTTAATCCTGACAGCTAGCTCTCTCTATGCATTAGTTTCTCACAGTAATATAGAGGTGTGGGGATAATCCGCAAGTAAGGTGTCAGTGTGAGGGTTCGGGTCAGCAATTCTCCCAAGACCAAATTCTCTCTTGAAATTCACCGGAGGGTTGAACATTTGGGTGCTGGAAGTTTTATCAAGGGGAGAGCATCATATTTACTAGAAAAGACCTTGTGATAGAGAGAATTTGGTTCGTTTGACTCAATGTCACGTAAAATGAGGACCAAATTACGATAGATTACATAGCCAATACCCAAATCTCTTTTGAAAATACCAGGAAGCTCTGGAATGATACAAATTGACACAAGCCATGGATAATAGAAATTGACACAAGGTGGAAGTCAATTTTAAAAAGCCAATTAAAAAGTGGCTCATCCTTAGCGAACAGTTGAGATCCAGTTCCTATTGACATTATATTTAAACTAGCCATGGATAAAAGAAATCCGAGAACTAAGAAAAATTGTGGTTCGACTGTTTCTAGCAGGATTTCGAAATTTTGTCAATACCCTTAGGGATGTACAGGAAGTCAAGGGGAATATGCTCTTCTGCCTCCTCTAGATGGGTACACACTCGTTATGGATTTCAATTCATTCTTCCTTCCTTCTTCATTCACACTGATAGTGGAATTTCTATTTTAGCCTTCTTGCCCTTTCCTCATTATCTAATCTCTTTCCCATTCTAAAACAAATCTCATATATTGTTAAGACGATAAAAATTAAAGCTCAGGCGTTCTCAATACCTAAAACTAATTGATGGCAATTCAACATCCAGTCTTCGAAACCATATAAACTAGCCAACTAATCATCCAACCACTTAGAGTCACTGAAACAATAAACTGAAAATATCCAAAATTTTCAAGTTAAAACTTCGGTTTTATTTTGCTTTGCTAGTTCATCCATACATCATATGAAATTGCCTCTACGCATCCGGTTATGCAAAGCATTTACAAAGCGATAAGAACCTAGAAGAACAAAATCCACGCATACACGATCATACCCGTAATCGGAGATTCGAAATCAACAAAATAAGCCTCTAAACAATTCTAATCCAATAAAAGAAAGAACGGAACACTCAGAGTGAATGAAGAAGAAAACACACGGTACGTAAGAATAATTAGTGAAAAGAGGCTTGGAATCCTCATCAATTTAGAAATACACAGAAAGTAGAGAGAAACGAAGCGATTGGAACCCCAAATCGGCGTGAAATACAAGAATTATGGGGAAAAGAATCGTAGAAATAGGAAGAGGTTAAGAATAGGGATCAGAGGAAGAGAAAACTTACCCTCGATAGAACATGGTCGCGCTGATAGGGGGGGATGCCCAGCTGTTGATGTCGAAGCGGCAGGCGTCGCAGCATCAGTTGAATTGTGAAATCTGAATCCATATGGCGAAGTAAATATTAAATAAGCGTGAGAAGCTGAGACCTCACTGCGCCTGAATGGACCCGTGCCCTTCCTTCATCGTTCCCGACAGGCCCATCAAATTTGAGTAGAAAGATAAACACAGTTTCCAAAAATTAAATATTTAAAATTTAATTATAAAAATGTAACATTTTCATTATAGACTAAATATAAATTATAATTTTTCAAATTTTTTTAAAAGATTAGGATAAAATAGAAAGATGGGCCGAAGCCCACGTGGAATTTGGGCCTCATGGGCTCAGTGTGGTTGAAAAGTTCGAATGGGTTACTTGGACCATGCTGCCACGTGCGAGCCGAATTTGACTCACGTGATCTTCCGTATCCATTTTCCACGTTGAGATTAGTGACTACGTGACCTTACGCATTTTACGGCCGCGTGAACATCACTTTTCAAGGTCCAAACTTGTTTACCTTTGTATGAGACTGAACGAGACGATGAAAAAAAAAATGAATATATTTCACGCGCGAATATGCGCGTGGATCATTGAAGAATAGCTCTATGAAACGTGTCAAGACTAAAAAAGAACATTCAAAATTGTCCAGCGTGGCTAAGAATCCGCCAGATTCCACGCTACCTGTCGGTTAAAGAATGCTCTAGATCTTCTAAATTTTAAAATTATTTTCTAAAAATTAAAAGAATAAAAACCACAATTTTCTTAGCTGGATAGAAAATTTTTACGGTTATATATTGTATTAAAAAAATAGTCATATAGGTACGAAATTTATAAGGATAACTAATTTAGTAGATAAAAGTGTTGGATGATGAAAGTCCTACATCTGCTAATTTAGAGAATGATCATGAGTTTATAATTAAAAAATACTTTCTTTGTTTGAGGCTTTTTGGAAAAGCTCAAAGCAAAGTCACGAGAGCTAATACTCAAAGTAGACAATATCATACAATTGTGGAGAATCATGTTCATTTAATAGAGTATCAGAGTCATGTCCTAAACTTAGTCTTGCCAATAGATTGACATATCCTCAAATGTCGAACAAAGAACTCCAAAAAAAAAAGGAGTCGGGCATCCTCGAAGGCATAATAAAAAATGACTAAGACTCCAAAAGAAAAAGGAGTCGAGCGTCGATTAAGGGGAGGCGTACTTTGTTCGAGGAGAGGTATTGGATGATGAAAGTCCCACATCGGTTAATTTAGGAAATGAAGAATACTTTCGGCTAATTTAGGGAATGAAGAATACTTCCTCCATTGGTTTGAATCCTTTTCGGGAAGACCAAAACAAAACCTTGAGAGTTAATGCTCAATTGTGGAGAATCGTATTCGTCTAATAAAAAAAAAATTTAAAATATTATTGGAGTTTAAAAAAAGAATGTAATAATGAAAAAAAAAACCCAGTAAAAATATAATTTCAATTCGAAAAAAATAAGATTATTGCATGGATAATCTAGGACCTCAAAAAAAACGTGTGGTTTGTGTTGGCAGTTGGCACGAAAAAAATAAGATGAAGCAAGAAAAACACAACGGCAAAAATCACGGACACACGTGCCGCCAAGAATCTGAAACCAAATTGAACTGTGGAAGTTCCAGTTTCTCACGGTAGGTGAATCTTTGACCCAATCCCCGCTGCCCATTTATTCTTCTCCTTTATATTCCATTCAATTGCTATATTACGCCTCCCACAATCTTCCTTCCTTCTCTCAACGTTTTTTTCTCCACAATGGTGGGAGCTTTCTTCCTTGTGGGTACAACACCGGTGGTGGACTCATCGCCGGTTACCAATATGAGTCTCACAACTGGTGGACATTTGGTTCTGCCCACCAAATCTAAGCTTAAGAATCATTTGGCCGTATCATCATCGGTGAGTTCGTTCGTGAATTCCGGCGGCCAGTGGCGGCTCTCCGCCGTTGGTGGCCACCGGAGGAATCTACGGAGGAAACGCAGGCTTGTTATTTCTAATGAATTTGCAGGGCAGTATGAGGATAGTTTTGATGATGTGAAAATGGTATGAACAGAACATGATATGACTGTTCTTGGATGGAAAATTTGTTGATGTTTTGATTTCCACGTGCAGCAAATACAGAATTACTTCACATTCAAAGCTGTGAAGACAGTTCTTAATCAGCTTTATGAGATGAATCCTACCCAATACAGATGGTTTTATGAGTAACTACTGAACCCTTTCACCTCACTTTCCTTAACTTCCTCGAAATCAATATAATCCACAATTTCTCTGTTTCTACCTCGACAGTTTTGTTGTGAATCACAAGCCTGGAGATGGGAAGCGTTTCATCCGCACCCTCGTAAAGGTATTATTACGACCTCCTCGGCTCAGATCAAAAGTTTAAAGGTTCGAATCTTTTATGTCTAAACAGAGATGATTATGATTAACAGGAGAAGCAGGATTTGGCTGAGAGAGTGATGGTAACGAGGCTTCATCTCTATAACAAATGGGTTAAGGTAAGAAGATTACAATTTCTTTGGTTGGAATCACTTTAAGAACACATATTGACAGTGATTTTCTGATATTGCGTAGAAATGTGATCATGCTGAAATATACAAAGAGATATCTGATGAGAACTTAGAGTTGATGCGAGAGCGACTAATGGAGACTGTGATATGGCCTTCAGATGAGTAGAGGTTTTAGAAGATTGGCAGACTAGGAGCTACTACATTGTTTTGTTCTCTTTTCTTTTCCTGTGGTTTCATTCTTATTCATATTGTTTACACCAACTAATAAGAATTCTTACGTCCAATATTACAAAAACTGTGAATGTATGTATCGATCTTATTGAACATGTTGCTATCGACCCACGAGACATTTTGGATGATCAGGTTGACCTTATTGTGAGATCCCACGTCGGTTGGGAGGGGGGAACGAAACATTCCTTATAAAGGTGTGGAAACCTCTCCTGAGTAGATGTGTTTTAAAAACTGTGAGGCTGACAGCGATACGTAACGGGCCAAAGTGGATAATATCTACTTGTGGTGGGTTTGGGCTGTTACTAATGGTATTAGAGTCAAGACATTGGGTGGTGTGCTAGTGAGAACACTGGGCCCTCAAGGGGGTGGATTGTAAGATCTCACATCGGTCGGAGAGAGGAACGAAACATTCCTTGTAAAGGTGCAGAAACCTCTCCCTAGTAGACGTGTTTTAAAAACCGTAAAGCTGACAGTGATACGTAACGGGTTAAAGCGGACAATATTTACTAGCGGTGGGTTTGGGCGGTTACTAATGGTATAGAGTCAGACACTGGATGGTGTGCTAGTGAGGAAACTGGGTCCTCAAGGGGGATAGTAAAATCTTATATTGGTTGGAGAGAGGAACGAAACATTCCTTATAAAGGTGCGGAAACCTCTCCCTAGTAGACGTGTTTTAGAAGAGAAGGTAGTACAAGATATACATACCGTTTGGTCGGCGGAAGAATCAAGATCTTGTTGGTGGTGGAACCAGGCAATACCAACCGGGCTGTCGTGACGTAGTCTACGATAGCGTTTTTCAAAAGTTATCGTATCTATCATTTCTTGTAGTGTAATTAGATTGCCACGAAGAATGCAGCAAGAGCAGCCCTTCCACGCTACCAGGAGCTCTTGTGAGATATCTGGGACTCCATATAGCCATGAATGTCTAATCCTAATCTCAGCACAAGCCAAAAGCAGAGCCACTATAGTACGAGAATTGGGTCAGAATCCTCCCCATCGCACTCCATAAACAAGAACACTGCCTCTTTACAGTACGAACACACCACATATCCAGAAATCAAAGCGTTTCACGACACCATATCTCTTTCAGGCATTTCATCGAACACTTTACAGGCCTCTTCAACAAACCCACATTTACTATAAAAGCCGACCAATGCAATCCGAACCCAAACATCTTTGATCAAATATGAATCCCGAATACAAGAATGAATTCGTACCCCTTGTCAAATGGGTTGAGCCTTCCCCAAGCCTCTAGAACAGGAGGTATTGTAGCAAAATCAGGTGCAATCCCAAGATGTTCTATCTAGGTATATTTTGAAAGAATGCCATGTCGTTTGAGACATTGTAAGGACAGTTTTAAATTTTATTAAAAGTATAATAATTAAAATTAAATCACTATATATATATATATATATATATATATATATATATATATATATATATTTAATCATTACAAAATTGTAACACGCCTAGAAAAATATAACGTATCGTCGGCTTCAATCTTAAACGTATCTTGGTATTGAGAGATTTCTACACTCTTATAAGAAATGTTTCATTTCCCTCACCAATTGACGTGAGATCTCACAATCCACCCTCTTCGGGACCAGCATCTTCGCTGGCACACCGCTTGGTGTTTGGTTCTGATATCACTGTAGTCGTTCAAGTCGACCGCTAGTAGATATTATCTATCTTGGCCTTTACCTTCACAATTTTAAAATGCGTAATAAACTCTGAAGATTAAAAAAAAATATATTATATATTTTTTTACCAATAATAGAAAAAATACATTTTTAAACAAATAGTTTCAAAGGAGAAGGATTGCATATAACAAACAACCTGCATAAAATCTTATGACACTGAACTGAACACTGTGATTTACAGCTACAAAACACTCGTACACTCGTACAAATCTTCTATGTTTTCTTGTCTTCTTGTTCAAGAACATGCTGTCTTCTCTTGTCTTTTCTGTACATGGTCTCTAAGCTTCAACTTTTTAAGGTTTTAAGCTGAATGTCCTGATGCAGTCCAGCCCTATATATGAAGGTATGGACATAAATGGAAGAAAAAAACATCATCCAACAGCTTATCCATGTCCTACAAACGACTTGGAATCTAGCTTTGGAGGAAATACCAAGGTCCTGTTCCCGTGCCGACCCTGTAAGCGAAGGCCAGTGCAGTTCAAAAACATTAGATTTTTGTAATGAATACCGTAATATGGTAACTGATTTGTGATCGTTCGTTAACGAGTGTTGGATGACACGAGTTCGGATAGATAGAGTGTAGATGGACGTACCTCCAGAATCCGGCTAGTGTTCGTAAGCTCATGTAGATGGTTAAGGCGACCCAGATACCGATGAATCCTTGAGTTGAGGAGAGAATGAACAAACAGAAAATGCTGATAATAGCCACCAGAACCTGGAGAGAAGGAATGTAAGTTTGGATGGTTAGGTGATTAAAGTTCATCTAGAATTCATTTTAGGCTACAATCTTGTTCATTTTAGGCTCGAGTTACTATACGTATCATTGTTGTTAGGAACCACGGACCTCCATAATGGTATGATATTGTTCACTTTGAGCATAAGCTCTCATGGTTTTATTTATGGTTTACCCAAAAAGCCTCGTACCAATGAAGATAGTGTTCCTTACTTATAAACTCATGATCAACCCCTTAATTAGCCGATGTGACACTCCTCTCCCAACAATCCTACCCTCGAACAAAGTACACGATAAAGTCTCCCCTAAGGCCTATGGAGCCCTCGAACAGCCTCCCCTTAATCGAGACTCAACTTTTATTCTGGAGTCTTTGAACAAAGTACACTCTTTGTTCGACACTTGAGTCACTTTTGACTACACTTTCAAGGCTCACAACTTCTTTGTTTGACATTTAAGGATTCTATTGACATGACTAAGTTAAGGGCATGACTCTAATACCATGTCAGAAACCACGAACTTCCACAATTGTATGATATTGTCTACTTTGAGCATAAGCTCTCGTGGCTTTACTTTTGGTTTCCTCAAACGGCCTCATACCAATGAAGATAGTGTTCCTTACTTATAAACCCATGATCAACCCCTTAATTAGCCGTGGGACTCATCTCCCAACAATCCTCAACATTTGTAAGATCCCGACCATGACTAGATTTTAGGACAATAACCAGCCACCATAGTTGTTTTTTGTATAATTGGCGAGTATGCGAACAGGGGGACTATGAACTCACCATGGAGTAAGCTGAGTAAGCAAAATCAGAAGCTCCAAAGTTGATGCCATCAAAAACAAATGCCAAGGCATTGATTGGTTGCATAGCAGCAATAAACTGTACAGATTAAAACAAAATTCAGTTTAGGCTTCCGTTTGATATTGAAATGAGTGATTTATTCCTATAGTTTGCGTTGGCAGAGTTACAAGGGGACATACTGGAGTTCCTATGCCGATTAGGTGGAGGACATCGACGTCGCTTGTAAATAACTTTGCCCCGAATGTCATCCCGGCTCCAACGAAGACTCCAAGCCCCAATCCCAGCAACAATCCCAGCTGCAGTATAGTTTACTATATATTAGAGAAACTCCCTTTACTAAAAGTAATTAGATCTCTCAAAAAACGATAGGAACCTGTAATACTCGTGATGCTGCAGTCGTTGCCTTATCATGGTCGTTTTGGGCAAATGCACTTGCTAGTATTGTCTGAAGAACAATAAGAACACTTAACATGAAAGGCTTGTAGTTCTGAATACATATGCACATGATTGAAAGAAATCTTTTACAAACCTGCCCAGCAACAGCTAAGCCATCGGCAAGTAGAGACATCGCCAGCCAGACCTGCAAGCAGACCTGAAATGCAGCCATTGATGTGGATCCTTGGCGTGCAGCCAGGGACGCAGCAAGCGTCACGCAGAACGTCACAGCAATGACTCTCATTAATAATAGAAAGCCTACAGAAGCATGAACATGGTTAATCAAATCTTCAGATTTTGCAGCATGCTTTACACAAATCTCTTACCATTTTTCAGAAACCGACTAAATTGCAAATGTTTGATACTGGGAGGTAAGAGATCAACTTGTCCCATTAATCTCCAAAAGAGTATCAGTGCTATTAGGTACCTACAAAATAAGAAGTAAATGTAAAAACAATAGCCAGAATATGCTCGAGAAGCCGTGGAATCGACAAATAACATAAAACTTACTGCGATATAACGTGTGCAATGGCTGCACCACTGACACCTAAACGAAAAATGAATATGAATATTGGGTCTAGAATGATGTTTGTTGCATCTCCTGCCACTGATGAAGAACAAGGGGGGAAATATGAACATGGATAATTCAGAGGTTCCAAAAAGAAAAGGTGGTTTCAAGTATACCAGTTGCAAATAAAGGAGTTTTTGTGTCCTTAAAACCGCGAAAGACGCCTTGCATGGCCAAGGAGAGAAGAACTGCCGGGGCGCCGAGTGACCGCAGTGTCAAGTATTGTTGTGCAGAAGTCATCATCGGCGAATCCTACGTTCATGTTATGCAGCAACAATCATGTACAAGAAAGGATTGAGGCATTAGTTTCAATAGGTAATACTTACTGACTTGACTCCCATGAAGTTTAGTAGAGGTTTTGCTCCAGATATCAAGAAAATGGCTTGTATGAGACCAAGAACACCGCCGATAACCAAAGCCGAAGAGGCCGATGGGATATATCTTCTTCCATTCTCTTCAGTTTTCCCTGTCAAGGATAACAAATGGAATCAGATGATGAATCAGAAGAAACGTTGAGTAGTGAATGAAGGAATGCATACCATTGTGTGGGATCATCAATTTTGATTCCTCATTTGTGAATAAACCTGTCTCCTTATCGTTATTATCCTTTGCTTCATTACAAGCACTTCCAATAGCATCTTCCTCAGCAACAAAAGATGTGGTGACACTAACAAGGGGGAAAATTGCAATTCTTGAAACTTGATTGAATAAAGCAATAGCAACTCCAACGGCAGCAAGCTCCACAGGACCTGCATCCATGATATAGCTATATGAACACGACCCTTGTTGAGAATTGTTGGGAGGGAGTCCCATATTAGCTAATTTAGGGATTGATCACGGGTTTATAAGTAAGGAATACATGTCCATTGGTATGAGGCCTTTTGGGGAAGCCCAAAGCAAAGTTACGAGAACTTATGCTCAAAGTAGACAATATCATACAATTGTAGAGATCCGTGATTCCTAAAAATCTTGAAAAGAAAAGCAGAGTTACCTATTTGGCCAATGAATGCTGTGTCAACCAGAGAAGCTACAGGGTCAGCTGCCAAAGCTAGTGCGGCAGGCAAAGCAATCTGTGCTATTTCCCGACCAAGGTCATCCAACTTAAAGACATGTCTGTTCACAAAAAACAGAACAAGAAAGGAATTACCACGCATGAAAGAATGTTTCCTATTACAAACATAATGGATCATAATCCAGAAAGCTAAAAGACAGTCCCCCATTGAATCTGTGTCTAGAAAGCATAGCGAAACAAAGACAACAAAAAAGTTTGATAAATGTTGAGCAGCTTCTTTACCTGGCATCCTTGAAGAAAATACGAATAGGCATTCTCGTTTTTTCCCAAGAGGGATAAGGATCATCTTCCTCAGACATGATCGAGAAGGCCATTACCTAAACTGTTCGAAATCGATACCCAGAGCCTGCAGAATGAACAAAAACGTCGATACTCCAATTGTTTCACTACCCAACACAGAATATTGAAGTGGGTATGAGCTATAAGTGAGAACTTTGTTGGAACAAAGACAACATATATAAAGAACTATGGAAAACTAACCCAGAGACAGAGTCTAAATTAACTTCTCCACCAAAAACAGCCTAACCTTTGGGCAAAACTTCCTAACTGGAGGCCCCTCATGGTCCACAATCCTTTAGACCAAAAAAGAAAACAAAAAAAATCAACCCAAAGTCTAAACAGAGAAACCTCCTAAGAGACTCATGGTTGAAACATTGCCACCAAGACATTTCAAGTTGGGTACCTCAACTCCGACGGCGTGGAAGAAACCCCAATACAAATTGGAAGCACGGAAGAAAGAGGGAAGAGGGTGTCTTTGTCTGAAGCCAGTTGCCAATTGAGGTATTGAAAAATTGGTTTGATTAGGAGCCTGTGAGGGTCGGAGGCGAAGAGGACGAGTTTGTTGGTCAGTTGACGAAGAGAAGCAAATGGAAGTGAGGCATTCGTCGGCGTTGGCGTTGGCGGGCAAAAGACAAGCGGCAAAGGGAAGAGGCCCAAGTCCTTCCCGCTAAGGAAAAGCGGCCAGTGTTCGATACCGAATTTCACTGCCGGTAATTTACCTATAATTTCCTTGCATTTATTAACAATTATGAGCTAATTTAAGAATGCTTTGAAAATATATAAAATATTGATGTCCAAAAGACTCTCTTACCCCCATCAACCTAACCGAATTGCTACTATTAACGTTTGAATATCAATTAATTTAAATTAACTTAAATTAATTTTAAATAAATATAAAATTTATGGGGTCAGATTCCTCTACTATAAGAATTTATAGTTAATTTTAATATATATATATATATATGTATTTTATGATATAATTATATATATATACATATTTAATTTAATTTTAGTTCGTTTTTTGGATAATTATTCTTAAAAATAGACTGTAAATTTTTTTTAAAAAAACCCTAATTTATTATTTAAAAATAAATAAATTGATATTATATAAAATTAATTTTTTTAAATAATATAAACATATGGTATAGATGTGATGGTCGCCAATTTAAAGAAAAATTCTTGCTAGACTTTTTGTGGCTTCGCGAAATATCATTAATGTTGAAACTAAGTTTCACTACAAACCAAGTTGTAGGTTAAGGTGTTCTAAATGCAAACGTTCATCTCGACTCATCATCTTAGTTTTCAATAACATGATCTCCACGCTTCTACATCTATTTGAAAGGTTCATCGAGATATGTTTAAATTTAAAATTCCGTGTAAAAACATTTCAAAATTTAATTAAACAAATATTTTCACAGAAAATATGATGCAGTAAATAGCAGTAAAAATGAACACAATTTAAACAAATCAGTTTGTCGTTAGAGCCTAATTACGTTTACGGAAAGTTAAAAAATTGTGTTTTTAACCATAAAATAATAGTAAATAAAAATGTAAAAAATTAATGAAATTTTATATTTCGAATGGCTTGTGACAAAGACACGTGTCGAGAAGTTATTGCTGTTACAAAAAGTGACGGAATAAGATTCAATGGTTGATAACCGCCAAGTCTGGAGTGAAAAGACTATAATAGCCCCATAATTTGTGCAATTCGGGAATATTTTGACCAATTTTTAACTTTTTTTTGTAATTCAAAAAATAAAGACACGTGTCGGGACATTATTGCTGTTACAAAAAGTGACGGAATAAGATTCAATGGTGGATAACCGCCAAGTCTGTAGTGAAAAGACTATAATAGCCCTATAATTTGTGCAATTCGGGAATATTTTGACCAATTTGTAACTTTTTTTTTTGTAATTCAAAAAATAATTATAATTATAAGATAAATATTCGAACCAACCAGAAGTATTCCAAAATTCAATTTTTATGCGATGTTTCTCGAACACCAATATTGGAATAATAAAAATAAAAAGCATCAAATTATATAAAAGAATTAAATGCCTAAATATTCAAGCTTGGAAGAATAATATTTAATAGTAGGTAAGAATTGTATTATATTTATTTGAGTGACATTTTAAAAAAATATATAATAATGCAAAGTTTAAGAACTTATATTAAAAAAAAATTGCTAAAGTTAGTCTAAAAAGTAGAAAATATGAGTGCACGGTGCTTTTGAGTGGCCACTAATTTTGATCTTTAATGCACACCCACTTGGCAAATCTACTGACACTTAGGTTCAACCCAATCAAATCAGAACTATTAAAACAAAAACTAGACCTCTATTATTGCGATCGGTAAAACTCAATTGATTAAGACATATATAATTTATGAAAAGATTTAGACTCGTAAAAATTTAATAATAAATTAATTTAAAAACTTATCAGACAGAATTTTATTATAATAGAATTGTTGAGATACTTATTATTGTGGTGGAATCTTAAGTGGGTTTGATGTGGATCTTTAATTATTAGCTTGTTTATATCACAATTTCATTTAATTAATTTTAATAATCGTATCCACATTTTTTTTTATTAATATGATTTAAATTTATTTGAAATCAAGTGGATAACAAAATCTTACATTAATTTTATAATGTAATAATTATATTTTAATTGAATTTAGGTCTAGTTTGGAGGCACTATTGATTAAATATATAAAGTAATTAAGGGTAATCTTTTTTTTTAATATAATTTTTTGGATTTAATTATTATTTTTTGAATTTCAATTACAAATTATTAGAAAAAGAAAAAAAAGTTTGGTGTATATTATTTATTATATGAGAAATGTAATTATCATAATGGAAATATATATAAAATGTGTCACAAACGCTCGACCTAACTTATTTGACATATAGTCCTAAACATTCCATTTCTCAACTTTACTTTATGGTGTGAACGTTTATAGGGTTTTATATAAATTATTGAAATCACGTGAAATTGTTTTCATATTTATCGACTCTTTCTCGAGATGAGGTGTAAAGACGATTACTCAATTATTGTTATAATATACGAGCTATAGCTTCCTACCATCTTGAAAAATTGAAAGTGAGATGTTTGTGAAGTGGGGTGGAGATCGGGAAGTCTTCTCTGTCCTCGTCCTTGTCCCTATTTCATTTTCCATTTATTTTTGTGGGGATTGGAGCGGTGTCGAGGATAGGAAATGTAATCCCTATTTCCAAACATGTTTAGCTCCCTCTTCTATTTTCGGCCCCATTCAGAGCGGATCACATAGGTTAACGAGTTGTTGAAGGGTCACGAGGGAAACTCCGAATTGTCACCGGAGTCTTGAGAAGAAGAGTTTTGAAGTTAGTATTCCCTTCAAAGGGAAGTTTTAGGATGCTGTTTTCAACTCTTTAGGTGATCTAATTGTGTGGGAATCTTCAGCCATCACTTGTAATTAAAAGATTAATTAATTTTCATTGAAATTAAGTTAATATGTTCATAAACATGGTTGAAACAAACTAAATAATTTCTAAAAAGTCTGAATAATTGGGGGAAATTGTAACATGTTAGCATTAATTTAATATTGATAAATTAAATATTTGAGTAATTGAATAATAATTATTCCAAATTTCTTTATATTCTCACACCCCAATCACATCACTTTAATATATGATGCTTTATATTAAGCAATTTGAGCAAAGCCTGTTTTCAGTTGGAAATTTATGACAAAACTATTGTAATTTAATTTAGGAATAATTGAGATATATTCAAATATTCGAGATTCAATAAGAATATGAAAATTAATTTTAATTGATGAAGAGATTATATTATTTTCTTTATTGTTTTTATAAATATTATTCTTTTAAAGTTTTTTTTTTAAATAAAAAGAATATTAAAATGCAAAACTCTGTAAGATTTCACAACAAAACATTCTTTATAAGTAGCAGACATGTTTTAAAACTTTAAGGAAAAGTCAAGAAACGAAATTCATTAATGCAATGGAATTCAAGCACATGAAAACTAGTCTTGGAAGGAAATCTCTATTCAAATCATATAATCCTTCAGAAGCGACGAATGAAAAACTAGTACCGGAAGGAAATCTTTATTCAAATCATATAATCTTTCAGAAGCTGACATCGCTACTTGATTCCTCGTCGACAACCAGTCGACAGCCAGCCAACCAACAATTGTCGACGGGACTTCTTTACCTTCAACCTAGTTGCCTTATCTTATCTCGCACTTTCAAACTACCTTTTCTTACCTTAGAGTTTGCTTTTATGTCTTCGACCTTCAAATCGTATGCTCGAAAAAGTCCAAAGAAGACAATTTCTGTTAATAGTGAGCTTGGAATGCTAGAAAAGAGCTATTCCATGCTTGAACAATAATATATATAGATTCCACTACCAAAATTCCACTACCAAAAGTCAAAGCTTTGTCCAAACTCATCTTTATGTGATTCCAATTGGAGGGGTGTGTTATGGTCCACGTCCTATTTCTGTGCTTCCATTTCATAAAAGTGATGGAGTCCATCCCCATAAAAGCAACATAAAGACTTTTGACTGATGCTACCACTCCTCATCCATCTTTCCCTGTTTATCTCAGTTATCTCATCATTCAAAGCAAAGGCTGGGAGAGAAGGTTGCAGACCAGTAGTGTACAAAAGCTTATATGATGATGAAGCCTTATATATGTAATAAAGTGCAGGCAATGAATCAAATCTTGAACATCTTTTGCAGTTTTCAGATAACGATCTCATCGATAATAGCAACAAATAAGAGGACCTACAAACTGCCTCAAAGGCCTAGGAAGAAAATTGCACATTGAGACACTAACAAATTCAGGGTGGTCGGTCGGTCTAATCTTCTTCTTCTAGATCAGTTACTCACCATAGACCAATGGCCTTCCACCAAATTCCCCCAGCGCCGAGCCAGATAATGATGTTGACAACAGATATGAGGAACCCGTAGCCCCACCACTGAGCAAGAGGAACATAGTTGGCACCATAGAAGACAGGGGCTGACCCAATGCCGTAGTGGGTTAAGCCACCCATCAGGTTGGATAAGAAGGAAAGTACAATGGCTCCGAAGTAGGGGGGAGTCCCCAAAGCACTAGCAACGGATAAGAAGGCTGTAAACATAGCGCCTATATGAGCTGCTCCACTCGCAAAGAAGTAGTGGGAGTAGAAATAGAGAAGAACTAAAATGCCGAATGAAAGATGCCATGAAAGCCCAAGTCCACCAACAAACTGTGGAAAGAGCACAAACTTGTAAGAAGAGATATTCATCCAACGTAGTGCACTAATATTTATGCAAACATCATTCTGAATGCGTAAGATTTAAGTAACATAAATATAACTATGTGCTAAGATTAGAATCCGAGACTCATGCAATATCTGGCCAGTTTTATGCATTGTTGATGAATAAAGCAAATCTTAAAGTTACCATCGAGCAGATGTCTATTGGGGTTCAGCCGTGGATATTTAGTTGATAATGTTTGAATCCATGACCTCATGGAGCTATACGCAGCATCTATAATATTTAAGCAAATCCCCCATTTGGGGTTTTTGAAAATTAAGCCAATAAATAGTACTCCCACCCTACAGGCTCAGGTAGAAACAATTCTTCAAGAGCTATCTACTAACTTCAAATAGCCCGCTAGGTATGATCTAACTCCCTTCACTTATCTGTAATTTTATCTCAAGGGATATTGGTGACCTCCAAATCTAGCCTCCTAATATGCTGCTTCCATATGTTTTTCTTTTCTACCTATAGGGGATTTGAAACCTAACCATTTCCTTAGGAGAGTAGTTTCCAAGGTAGCTACTACCAAGTCTTGCAGTTTAGTTAAGAAAAAGAACATCCCTAGTTCCCCTATCAAACATTTTCCTACTATCTTATTTTCTCATGCAAATCCATACTGAGAAATATTAAACTACAAATAGAGATATTAAGGAAAATATAACATTTCAAGCTCACCGCTAACAGATATTATCTTCTTTAAACTTTCTCTTTCGGACTTTCTTTTGAAACGCATCTACTAAGAAGAGGTTTCCACACTCTTATAAAGAATGTTTCGTTCCCCTCTCCAACCGATATGGGATCTCACAGAAAAAGATCACTTCGATGAAATAGGTCGTCTTTTAGATTGTTTAGATGGATCCAAGGTGCTTTTAATTCATTTGAAGCACTTTTTCCTATTCTGTGTCATGCCAAACGTGCTCCTAATCATGCATCACTCATATTATAAGATGAAAAATTGCCCGAGCAAGCTCAAGGGCATGTGAATAAAGGGAATCTAAGGCAAACCTTCACTACAGTTTGGCTAAACCAGGAGATGAGACCATATTTGTTGAGATACCCTGCCATTGCAATGAGTGCAGCAAACCATGTTAGAGTGTCCCAGGCAACAGCTTCTGCCAAGCACTCTTTCCATGTCACCACCCCAGTCACAAGAAGGACGGACAATCCCAAAATGGCAGCAGTAACAGCGTCCACATTAAGAATCCCTCCAAAAACCCAAAGACCCACCTGCTCCAAGGAATAAGACAGGCAACCAACATTAAGAGCTACACAAAGTAATACATTCTGTACACCAAACAATGACATATCTTACTAAAAGCCTCAGCACTATAGGAGAAGCACAAGTAACACATCAGTAGTCTTTTAAATTTTGAGATAATTGGTTTTCAGGGTTCAATGATTATCATTAAGCATATGCAAAAACAGACGGGAACACACCAATTCGTCACCGGTTTCTAGTAGTTACAGAGTTAAGTAGCTGATTAGGATATAGGAGTAGAACATGAAGTTCCTAGAATTCAATCAACTCAAAAGTTAAAAAGCAGGAGTTTCGAACTGAAAGGAGGAGAAAAAGTGGGTCTTTAATGTTTAATACCGTGAGAAGCAGAGTTCCAGCCATTATAATCTCGTTGTTGGACATTGGTCCCATCTTTTCTAACTTCTCTCTGGCAAGCTTGGGTGCGTCTGGACTGCTCTTCACGGTGGGCGGATAGATTACATACAGAAGCAATGGCACCACAATCAAGGAGATTAATCCTGGAACAATGGCTGCTTTAGCCCAGTCGGTCCATCCAATGGTCTGCTTGATCGTGTTATACGTCAGAGTGGCACTGAGAGGATTAGCAGCCATAGCCGTCAAGAACATGGATGATGAAATCACCGACGTTTGAAAGCAAGTGAGCATCAACCACGATCCCAACCGTTTTTCTGTGCCATCACCAGCATTGCTACCGCAAGCAACACAGAGCGATTTCACCAATGGAAGGAATATTCCTCCTGCTCTGGCAGACACCGAAGGAATTGCCGGCGCCAACAGAGCCTCACTGAACACTAAACTATACCCTAACCCTAACGTCGAACTACCGAATAGAGAAACAAATTGATAAGCAATTCGATTACCTAGTCCGGTCTTAATGAACCCTCGAGCAAAGAAGAAGGCAAGAGCGATGAGCCATGGGATCGGATCACCAAACGCAGAGAAAGCAGCAGAGAAGGTTAGGGTTTTAGTTAGAACAGAGGCGCCAAGTCCAAGCAAAGCAACAGCACCAAGGGGCAAAGGCTGAGTAATAATCCCAACAATCGTAGCAAGGAAAATCGCAAGCAATTGCCACGCGTTACGAGAAACACCAGACGGGACCGGAACAAACCACAGAATGATACCCGTAGCAATGGAAGCAATAAGTGGCTTAATCGCCGCACCTTGCCATGGCTGAGAAGCCGGAGCTACAGTAGCAGGAGAAGAGGAAGCCGCTCGGACAGTAAAGGTACCGAGATTTCCACGAGAGCTTCTGAAATCTAGAGCTGGTTTAATCGATTTAGCTTCACTGGATAGAGAAGACGGAATGCGGAAGCTAGTTCTGACGCCGCTCTCGAAAATGGCGGTTTTAGGAAGAGTTGAACGGAGAGAGGAGAAGCGGATTTGAGAATTTACCTCCGGTTTCCGACGGCGCGATTGGAGAGAAGGGAGAAACGAGGAAGTAAGCGCCAACGAAGCCATCAACCGGTCCTGATTCAATCCAGCAGCGGCGGCGGCGGGGGAAAACGAAGCTCCGGTGGAGGTACGGATTTTGAAAGAGAGAAGCGACTACTGGAAACAAATCCGACGGTGGAGGATTCGATAGAAGATGGAAACTTTTACGGTGGAAAAAAGGTTGATGAGTTACCTTCTAAAGCTCCGCCGGAATTGGTTAATGCGGCGGACTTTTCGACCTGGGAGGGGAACCACGTGGTGATTTCTATATAAAACCCGTTTGATGACGTGGACTGGTAGAGCCAATGAAAGAGACGGAAGTCCACGTGGCAGCAAGCAAGTGGTGGGTGGTGCTTTCAGTATAAGATGGGGAATGAGAACTGACATGTGAGGACAGGAAGGCGAGTGGAGGAAATGACGGAAGTGTCCCTGTTATATGGAAATGTAGCGGCACGTGCACCACCAAATGGAATTATGGAAATGGAAATAAAATGACCTTATGGGAAATAAATGAAAAGGGGAAAGAGTGGGTGACGTAACTGAACAGAGTTGCGAGGGCGCGTTAGGCGCGTGACTGTTTGGAGCTTCTAGTTCTAAGCTCCGGCTTTCAGCCAGCTAAGCCAAAAATGTCGGTTCTATTTTCATATTTCATCAATATAATACATTAAAATGTTGAAAATATATTTTTTAATTGCATAATAATTATAAAAATTTTATATGCTTATTAATTATTTTATTTTATGCTTAAATAAAATTGTTATATGCATAAATATCAGATCTAAGAATAATTTAATGGTGAATTATAAATTTAAATAAAATCATGAATTTTATTAAACCAAATTTAATCGATAAGCTAAAATGTTAAAAAATTTCGTACCTTCTGAATTGATATGCGTGTGAAATGTTGGATACCACAAGTGACGAGAGATCTTAATATAACAATATTCAAAGATAAATATTTTATTTACAACAATCACCAACAAGTCGCTTTGGCCGAGTGGTTAAGGCGTGTGCCTGCTAAGTACATGGGGTTTCCCCGCGAGAGTTCGAATCTCTCAGGCGACGTCATTTTTTCCTATTTAAAATTACATTTTCTCCCGAATTACAAGAGTTTCGAGGCCCATTAACGGGCCCGATACCATGGCCCAGTACCAGATTTCGCCTTAATTTAAATATTCGACCCAAATGCAATAATTAAGACATGTTTTTTTTTTTGTTTTTTGTTTTTTATTTTTTAGAAATGGTGTTGTCTTTCTTTTCAAATATTGGTTTAGGTTTAGAAGTTTCATACCGTCGTTGGATCGGTCTCGATCAAGCTAATTCTAGAGTGGATCTGTCTTATGAATAAAAATGATCTTCATAAATTTAAAAATCTAAGAATTATTCATCTAACTATGTTCTTGATTGGAATTATTCGTTAAGTTAATAATTTTGTAAGGAAAATTGGTTTATTTCTTCCTCAAATCACCCGAGCAACTAATCCATGATCGAGTGTACTTTATTTGTTGTTCAAGTAACCAAATCTTTAGTTAGTTGTGGCTTGGGCTTCAAAGTTCTCAATAAAATGATTGGGAATAAAAGGGCTCTCTTTTTATCATTCTTTCAAGTGGAAAAAAAAGGGTCTCACTTTTTTAGGGTTTACCTATGCATCATTCGATCATTTTGAAGTATGTATTTTCATTTTTTAAAAATAATTTCTATATTGAAATTAATTGATTCGACGTAAAAATTCAACCAATTCAGATTAACTCGTTCATATCTTTCTCGATTGAAATAAAATGTCTACCCATTTCAAAATCATGACCAACCCTCTTGAAATGCACGGGTCGATCTTCTTTGTTCATGTAACCATTCTCTTTTTCTATTATGTGCAACTCGTTCTCTTCCTTTTAACATGTTATGAAAATTTGAGAAACATTGAAGCGAGCATCCCGAACTCTTTTTATAGAATTGGACGTTGATGGATTGTTTTAATTCATTTAGGGCTAATAGGATTTTTCTAGGTGTGGAAGTAAAGCAAGCTCACGATAAACGTTACTTTTAAAACCCTAAACACGAAATTGAATAAAAATGACAATATATACATCATATACATACATTGTCAAAAATGAGCTAGTATGGTTAAAAAGTGATACACTCGATCGAGAATAAAAATGGGTCGACGATAGTTTGATGAAAGACTTGATGATTCTTTGTTCGAAGCGACGAATTATTAAGAATATGACCAAAGACTCACGTTAGAATGACGTTTCGAGTAAAACCAAAGGCAAACCCATGAAGGCAGTTATGAAAGTGGACGATAACACTTTCGTTAGAGGTAACGAAGATGGAGATAGTGCGTTAAATAATGGCATTTAGAATTGAAACAAAGCATGTGATAACTAATCCCTAATTGACATGATTAGTTAACGAAAAGCAAAAGGGTTAGAGACAAAAACAAAGAAATGATCAAATATCCATTTCAAATTCCCTTAGTGGGCGAGAGATTCATCTCTCAACTTAGTGATCATTAAACACCATTAATAGAATAGATACCCATTGTTCTTCAATTTTCTTAACCTAATACTCATTAATTTATGGCTTGATATCATATCATATCATATGAGTATCACAAACTATATTAATGTATGTATATGTTTCTGTACATTACATTATTGTTTCTTGAATGGAGTGCCTTTGAAGGGTCACCAATGAAGAACAAAACAGTCTAGAAATTATGATTTAAAATTGTTATTGAACTTGAAAATTCAAACATGGGAAAGAAGAAGGAACGTCTTTCATCAAATCCTCCAACTCCCATTCGCCCATTGAAAACTCCTCGTGAATAAAATTTGCTCCAACCCCACCATTCATACTTTCCATCTTTGGATTATTGTTAATTAAGTAATTACTATGTTTAGTTTCTCCACCGGTGGCTGCGGTGGCGGTGGCGGTGGTCGTGGTTGTGTTAACGCTTTGCAAAAGAGGGAGATTAAAGAAGCTATCGTCTTCTCGATAGAATCCCATCTCGACGCCACCGGTGGGGAAGAATGGTACGCCGTGGGTGGTGGAGAGAAGAGGGAAAGAGTCGAGGGCGATAACGGAAGGTGATGGATCGGCAGCGAAGATCGGAAAGTCAATTGAGTTTTGTTGTTGTTGTTGATCTTGACCTAATACGAAGGTGGCAAAAAGATTGGATTTTGAGTCGCCGGAGTGAGAGTCGGAGCTGGTATTCGGCGACGGCGTGGAGGACAAATTCTTAAGCCTCTTTTTAATAGTCGAGTTCCAAAAATTCTTAATTTCGTTATCCGTTCTTCCCGGTAATCGCGCCGCAATCTGAGACCATCTGCACTAAAGTCAACATTGAATTAAATAATTTAAGTAATGTTTTTAAAATTAAAAAAATTGAAAAATTATTTGACCTGTTGCCAAGAAGAGAATGCAAGTGGATGACGAGGTCTTCTTCTTGGGGGGAGAAGGCGCCGCGCTTGAGATCAGGCCTTAAGTAATTGATCCAACGGAGGCGGCAGCTCTTGCCACAGCGCTGAAGGCCAGCATTACGAGCCACATCGCTCCAGCAGCCTTGGCCGTTATTGAGCATGTAGGTTCGTAACTTGTCGTCTTCCTCCGGCGACCATAGCCCTTTTCTGAGCTTGGTGGCAGCAGGTGGTCCACCTCCGCCGCATCCTCCGCCGGGAGCAGCAGCGTCGGGCTTCCTCATTATGTGATTGGAAGTGGGTTGATGTGGATCTGTGTGGAATTTATAAAAGACATGGAGTAGGAAAAAATAATAATGATGACGGGGATGGTTGTGGGGTTTGCTTACAATATTGGGAAGAGAGAGAGAGAGAGAGAGCGAACCGGTGGTTGATGGGTCTTTGGTAGAAACGGTTTGGAGGGGGACCTGAAAGAAATAAATAAAATAAAATAAAATAATAAATAAAACAAAAATATTTTCAAATATATTAGAGAGAGAGAGAGAGAGATTGTTTTCCAACCAAGCCAAGATATTTGCTTCCACTTCACATAACCTATATTTCTCTCTCTTCCACACGTGTAGTTTAAGATAGATTTTTTAAAAAATTATTACATTTTATATTTGGAATATAATGCTTAGTTTAAATTTTTTTTTGTTGTATTTTTAATTATTTAAAATTAATTTTATGGAATAGAAGGAGTGTTATAAGTGAAAAATCAAGTTAATAATAATTTGGAATTATAATTTTTTTTCTAATTTATTTATCTTTTAAATTATCGGTGAGATTAAAAGACATTTTTAGGAGGCCAAAAGGCGCACGGTCTTTGGAAAAGTTTGCATAAAAGGATGGAAAATTGTGTTTTAAGTTATTATTCTAATAAAAAAAAGTTTTTTTTTTTTCTTTTCATTTTTTTCTCTTTGACGTATTTTATCTGCAATCAACCTAAAAAGTAAAAAAAGGGTAAACAAACAAGAGAATCGCTTTAGTAATTTTCTTTTTGTTTGTAAGTCTTTTGTTTTTTACTGCAAAAAAAATTTGATTTAATTTTTTAAATAAATTAAATTTTGTATTTTACCTATAAAAAATATTCTTAAATTTTCACTTTAAAAAATTTCACAAATATCTTCCCTCTAATTTCTAAACCGTCATTTATTTACTTTAAAATAATTACCGGTAAAATTTTAAAAACGACATTAATACCCTTAACCATTATATAAAAAAGCTCAAAAAGTTATTACATATAAATAGAAATCATCTATTAATATATAATAGATTATCTCTAAATTTTTTTAATGTTTTTTTTAATTTTTTAATATTTTTAAAGCGTGTATACGGAGTATTTTAAATTAATTTTTTTTTTTGAATTTCTAAAAAAATTTAAGAAATTAATAAAACTTTAAAACATCAAATAGAATATTAAATATATATATATATAAAAGAAGGAGAGGACTAATATTGTTCCCTTAATAAAAAATTAATATAATTATGGAATAAACATTGAATTAATTATTGAGACACTAATTTCATAGAAAACAAACAGATTGGAAGTAGCTTTCCGGGTTTGAAAGAAGTAACGCTTTAATTACTGAATGTTGAAAAGTGATTAAAGATAATTATTTATAGAAAAAATAAAATCGACAATAATTACATTATTAATGTACCTAACTAATGCCACAAACTTTAATTAAACCAAACCCTTTGCTCTTTGGGTTGTTGAAATTGGGAACTTAGCTCAATAGTGCCGCCCTATTTATTCGTCTATCAACTTTGTTAATTAGTGCTTATTGGTACGAAAATCTCGAGATTAAATTGAAAAAAAAAAAAAAAAAAGTCAATTCTAAAATGATTATGGTCAAGATTTGGGTATAAAAAGAGAATCTAAATGTCAAAATATCTTACTCGATATTTTTTGGTCTTAAATTCACAATGTATTAGAACGACGGTTTATATATATAGAAATATATTAAATAATTTAAAATGGAAGGGACTAAAATAAAATGTAAAATAGGAGTATTAAAGTATTTAAACTAAAAAAACACATTTAAAATTGTAAAAATTTGCTATATTTATATAAATATAATATAATGGCGTGAATATATTTATGTTAATAAATAAGAGAAATTAAATGTATTAATGAATAAATCGTTAAATAAAAAACTAAAAAAGACAATTAAGAAGTCAAAGTCAACGCATAAAAAGGAAAAAAGAGAGTGTTGTCGGGAGGACCATAAAATAATTATGTAACATTATTTGGCCTTCATATCTTGGCAATTAGAGCCAATGAGTTATACACTACAAAATCAATAAATAATAATAATAATAATAATAAATGCTTGAGATTAAAAAAATTAATAATATAAATTAATATTAGAGAAAATATTAGAGTTGTTTGAGTAGGATAATTATTTGACGAAAATATTTAATTAGTTTTATTATTATTATTTTTTTAAAATTTATCAATTTAATTTTAGAAGTTTTATAATTATACATTTGAAGTTATTAAAGGTCAAGATTATGTTATGATTAATGTTATAATTTGTTAATCGGATGAAGAATTAAAGCACTTAAAAAAAATAAAAATTTTAGAATTTGTAGTAATTTTGGTTAATGGGCCTCCCAGTCATGAAATGGGCTCTTGAAGTGGCCCATAGGGCTATTTTACAATTACCCAAATCCTTTCCCCGCGCTGCGGATAAAGATAAACCTCTCTGCGCTCTGCTCAACCTCCAAACGGTCGCCTTCTTCCCTCCTTTAGTGTTCCAGGCGCCAGTCCGGAGCTCCGACCATGGCAGCTCTGAAGCTTTGTTACTCTTCAACTCTCCTGTCTTGTACTTCATCTAGAAAACTCGCTTTCTCTCATCCGCTTGCTGTTACTTCTTCGATTTCTTCCTCTTTCTCTGTTCTTCGTCCACTTTCCTTGTTGAACTTATCCGGTTACCACAAATCTTCCTCATCCTCGCTTCGAACGGTTTGCGAATGTACTTCGGTTACTGGAGAGACTGGAGTCCCCGAAAATTATGGAGATACCGAAGGAGAGGATCCAGGAGGGTTCCGTGATGAATTTGACGATGTAGATTACACCATTGATGTGGAGGCTTTGGAAGAAGAAGCTAAAGACGTTCTTCGAGAGTATTCTAGCTCTTTATCCCGAGAACTAAGACTAGGTGCGTGTTCTCACTGGCGTACTTTTTTTCTGCTTGAGGTTGTTATCGTAAAAAGAAATGTGCTAATGCATGTGTAGGATGGACTGTCAATTTCTTACAGATATGGTCGAATTACCATAATTCTATAATTATTATGTGCAATTATGCATCTCCTCCATGGTCCACAGCTTTTCCAGTAGTCCTATTGGTCATATTGTCGATATATTGCATTTGATATCTAAGATTAATCTTAACTCTGTTCATTTTCTGGTCTCCTTAGACGATGAATTGAATGATCAATCAGAAACTGGTCGGAAGAAGAGTAAGCGTAAGACTACACCTAGAAATGTCAGTAAGTCTCTTGTTGTTAATTTCCATCTTCATTTCATCGGGGGCTTAGTTCAACTGACATCATCCCATGTTTATACCGTGAAATATTTTCGATTGAAGAACTAATTTAAGTAACATATAAGTACCTACTTTTTATTCCTAAATTTTACGGTCATGATCGATACAATGAAGGAAATTAGAAAGAAGGGAAAAGGAAAAAAAATAAAGTTCACTGCAACAATCTCAAGTAATTTGCATTAAAAAAAGAGATTCTAGTTGGAAGGGAAAAAAAAAATCATAGTTTGCTTTGAGGGTTTGGAAATTGTTTACGTTAGTACGTGATTTGAGATGGTTTTATAACAGAAATAGATGTTAGACTTATTGCATGCTCAGAACTGAAAATCAATTAGCAATTAGAGGAGTGAGTCATGTATCTTATAAAGATAGCTAAGTATTTTCATCTTTCTGATGTGGGGTCTTCAACAAGTCCCCTCAACATGGAGCCTCTTTGGGTTCACATTTCTTGGGTCAGGGATCCCAATGTTTGGACAGAATACCCATTTGGACGTCATGGGTTCTAATGCCATCATATGTTCTTGATATGAGTAAGGAACGAGCAGATAGAGACAAAATAAACTCTTTCTCACTAATGGTGATCAAAACACAGCCGTATATATAGGCTTACTGTAAATGCAAAATAAACAGAATTACAACTGAAATACACATGAAAGGCAACCAATGAAAAAAAGGCAATGTAACAAGGGGCCAAGCGTACCTCCCGTTTCAAAAGTCAAAGTCCACCTAAACCGCGCTGGTCATAATAGATCGACTTTATATATTTGGACTCCATGTACTTTGGTTATGCACATGAAAGGTAAGTGAGCTCTCTTATCAGGAACCTGTTAGTTGACAACTCCATTACCTCATCAATAACCATACCCATCACTCATATTAGGACATTACGGAACTTTGTCATGTATGCATTTATTTATTTATTTCTCTTTGTTCTTTTTTTTATCAATCCTTGTGCAAATTTATTGCGTGAAAACCAAGATGTTTTTGAGCTTCTGTTGTTGTAAACACAGGAGAATAGAGCTACCTTGAAGAATTCACTGGTTGCTGTAAATGATATGTTTCCTATGCCACAATTTACATGTTCTTTTCCCTATTCTTACAAATTTTATGTGCAGATCCCAGACCATCTTCTTCCAAAAGTCGCAATTGTTGGAAGGCCAAATGTTGGAAAATCTGCATTGTTCAATAGACTTGTTGGGGTAATAATCTTGCTTTTTGATAGTCCTATTACCATTTGTACTATTCAGCATCCACGCCCTGGAAATGAGATCTAAAGCTTCCAATACTATTATTATCCAGATAATGTTGTTCTAAATTAGCCTTTCTTCTGATACCATAGGGGAACAGGGCTATTGTGGTGGATGAACCTGGTGTTACTAGGGATCGGTTATATGGTAGATCCTTTTGGGGGGACAATGAATTTATGGTGGTGGATACAGGAGGGGTTCTTTCTGTTTCGAAAACACAAAATGATGTCATGGAGGAATTAGCAATCTCGACAACCATTGGGATGGATGGCATTCCCCTAGCTTCCAGGGAAGCAGCTGTTGCAAGGATGCCGTCAATGATTGAGAGGCAAGCTACAGCAGCTGTGGAAGAATCCTCTGTCGTCATATTCCTTGTTGATGGTCAGGTAATTTCAATTAATGATCATAAAAGCGCACTTGCTTTTGCATTTATTTTCCAGGATTGGTTATTCAAAATTATTGAGCATCAATTATTTTTGTCAAAA